ACATCAACAAGCATCATGACTACAGATTCAGATTACACCAGACCAAGAGGCAAATTCTATCCCCATCCACACCAAATCCTTATCCAACTGGATTAGTTTTTGGTTTGGTTTCTAGTCCTGGGAGGTGGAGGCAACTATGTGCTGATTCTTGGCACCACCTTGTGGCCACATCTAGATATTGCATATTCCATATAGTTCCACAAATGGAAGGAAACTGACATTTACATAATCCTGTCCTGGCTCCCAGTCTCAATTCTACCTCTTTCTTAACAGCGAGATCATGAACAAGCTGATCAACCTGAATGGGCCAAGATAGGTATACATAGGATCAAAGACTGAAATGAAATGTAGGAAAATAACAAAAAATATGAAGAGGTGTAAATTTTTTGCATCTTATCATAATTTCACTACTCAAAAAAAGGAATCATCAGAAGTGAAAGTGGAGAGTGGCAGGGAAGCCTATAAACAATTCAGAAGTACAAACGAATCAATTTCAGGCTGCGATCTTAGCTGCTTGGCTCAAAGTACCAGATAATCTGAGGAGGCTCAGGCACTGTCTACTAGAGTCTGTTTCTGAACTCTTCTGTGTTTCGCTGACTGGGGGTGGCTGTGGGGGTAGGGTAGAGATATATTCCAGCAGCAATACCAAGATGACTTTAGGCTAGAGAAAAAAGCACTACATTCTCAAACCCCAATATCTTTAGCAACGATACATCCCATCTACTTCAAAGGTTTACTAAATGGGAACATTAAAGCCTATGATAATGAAGAATGCCATCAACCTCACCTCAAAATTAGTGAGAGCTCAGTCGAAAAGTGCAGTGCCTAGCTCCTCCCACCCTTGACCTGCTGCCTCAGATGCTCCAGGCTGAGCCATGAAGATACTACTCAGGTGATACTGAAGCACACCCTGATAAGAATCAGATGATCTATTATGTACAGTATTTAACTAAATGAACTGACCCAAAGGTCCTCTCCAGGTCCTCTCTTACATAAACACAATTTGCAGGATTTTAGAAAAACTGATGTACAAACCAAATCTGCCAAAAGCTACTGCCTCAGAAAAGAAAAAAATGTATAAATCGACTTACATACATGAACTGGTTCCGAAACTTGACAGTGCATCACAATCACTTAGGAAAGCTTTTTAAAATTACTGCCTGGTAGTCCCACACTAGATCTCTTGAATCGGCACCTCCAACACCTGGACTCCCAGGTGATTCTACAGAGCCAGTCTGTGTATTAGCAACCTTTGCTTTAGTCTATTCTCACTGCAAAGGAAATGTAGGCTGTTAGGTAAGCAGGTCAGACAATAATGGCTGGCAAATGGAAACAGAAAGAGCTTCAGGATATGGGGTTAAGTTAAATTATAAACTCTAACCCTAGTCGTGCCAGCCCAAGACAAAACTTATTTAGAAATGCATCTTCTCGCTCAAGATGCAATCTGACCTACACCCCAAGTCTAACCCAAACAGTACTGACTGCTGTTGGGGAAAGAAGCAAGAGTTGGTGACATTTTTTTGTTTGTGTTTTATCTCAAGGTTGGCAAATAGCTGGCATGAATATTGCTGCTTTGCCTCTCTATACCCTCACCCAATTTAGACATCACTAATGGGCCACATGCAGCACT